ACACACACACACACACACACACACACACACACACACACACACACACAGAGGAACGTTGTATTGGAGGATTTAGCCGAAGCACAAGATGAAAAGCCTCTTTATGTATCGGTGCATTTTAAAGGTTCTGCTGACTTTTAGTTTCAGGGGTCAGAGACGAGATAAATCTACAGTACCAATCTGTAATTCAGCTGCGTCACAAGGCTTAGCTGAAATATCAAAGGGATTGTTAGAATTTTTTTTGGAGTGGGGTTGTATGAGGTGCTTCTCCACAGTCAGTGTATTACTACAGTAGAGTGTGATTGGAGGAACAGACAGGAGTAACCAGCACACGAGAAAATGTTCATCAGTCAGTGATCTCAGCTTAACTGTACGCTATATTTAGAATATTTTCATTGTTTTATCTCTTCAAAGACACAAGCTTCTTTGACAGAAACTAGTGCTGTAATGGATTGTTGTCGATCCCTGATCTAGAGAGAGATATACTGTATATATACGTATATATATATATATGACTTTAGAGCTGTTAAAATTATGTCTTATAGACCAGCCGCTAACAAGACCAAACAATAAAAATCTGTATCTGCCAATATGGATCAATGATTGGCAAATGGCATCAGAGGAACAAAAAAATGATCAAAGATATCTAAAAGTTATATTTGCTCCTTTTTTTATTTTGTGCTGATCCGATCTGTGACTCCGGTCCGTGATCCGATCTGAACCGTGACCTTTGTGATCTGTTAGACCACTAAATTTAGGGTTCACTTAAATTGATGGATTCTTTTAGGTGTCTGAAATACGTCCACATTGCTGGTTCTCCCGTCTGTTTCTCCAAACAACATCTACCGTAGTAAAACACTGACTATGGAGAAGAATCTCAAACAAAAGTGCAATCCCTGTAAATATGATACATTGGAAGATCCTCTTTGCCAAAGTAGGTCTCTGTTATTTCCTTGCGTTGGTATTAGAAAGCATGTTGACAATACAAAGCCTTGTCACAGAGTTATTGATGACTCATTCCCCGTTTGCTTTAATTCTACATCCACCACCAGCGGGATTCGACCTTCATACATCTGCCTCAGCTGTTTCACTGCCTTGATTAAAAACACGGGAGGCCGAAGCTCTTAAGCATTTGACCACGTACGTCGCTAACCCATCAAAGACATAAACCCTAAACTGTCCCGCTGCTGTCGCAGCTGAAACATTGAGCGAACGTCATTGGAAGGAATGTGGCAGATACCCTCTGCACAGTGGGGACTAACCAATTTATAAACATGATTTATGAGCCAGCTCCTACGTTACATGTAGGACACAGTACGTACAGCTCCGTACGCATGTGTGATGTGCTGTGGATTTCAGCAAGTGACCATGACTGGAAAAACAATCCCATGTTAACTATTCTGGAGATGCACCAAGCTGCTCTACAGCCCACCTGTTTATAACGCTTTCTAGAGGGGGAACTCTCGGCTCAAACAGGAAGTAGAACATGGGGAGAACTGCGCCACTCAGCCTCGTGCAGTAGCCAAATCTCTTGATAAGTTTATACACTACAATCAAGCCGAAAGGCTGTGACGCCTGGCAGGGATTACTGAGGGATTACAATATATTCACCCCACTGGGATTCCGTCACATGGTGGATCAGATCTCTGTGACAGGGGACCAGTGTGCAGCGATCCCTCAGGGCCACAAACACAACTGTGACAGATTTGACAAAGAGCCTAAGTCTGTCTGACAGCTCGACACAAACCGCTGTCTGGCTACAATGTGAATGTTAAACCGACGTGGAGCTCTGCCACCGTGTTGTTCCTCCCTCTACTTACCTTCCAGAGGGCAGGAAGCAAAGCAATTAGGGTTTTGGAAGAAATTAAGACAGTTTGGCCAAGAGTTACTGGTTGCAATCCAGTCCATTAGTGATGCAGTGTCGCACAGAGAAACTTGGATGTTCTTCAAAAGCTGACTTGGGGACTTTCAATCCCTGTGTAAATATAGACTTTTGCTGTTTGAATAATTCAAATGTCAGTTTCAAAACTAGAACAAGAAAAACTTCACGAAACAGCTTCAAATCACAATAATGACTCTATGGACGTCAATTAATCAGCATCTATGCAGAACTTCAGCAGATTACGTTTCAATGCTTCGGACCGCTGAAAACAAAAAAATTAAGCAACAGCTTCAAAAGTAATGTCATGAGAGGAAAAAATGAATAAGTAGATAAATCCTCTTGTTCTCCATTTGTTGCATTAAACACTGGACACCATCTGTTGGGTTGGATCGCGGAATACAACAGCAGCAGGGTGGCAGCTGCCACCCTAAGACGCAACAGCCTGGCCACAACCTCATGTCGCATGCCGACACACTCTAAAAACACTATTCTGGGCTCCGTTAATGGGCTCTTTCACTGTCTTAGTTTACAGGCGGGCAGGCCGGCACACTGAGCAGAGATGAAGCTAAAATGTCATTAATCAAAATAAGCCAACTTCAAACAAAAGACAGTTTGGAGGCCCGGGCAGCGGGGGATTACCCCGTATTATCACAACATTTCTGGGAAAAGGCAACAACTGGTCCTATGTATCTAACATGTCAATCCTTCTGCTGACCCCTCCCCACACTCTGACCCCTCCTCCAGGCAGTAGGTGACTGAGATGGGCGTTCGTCTAGGCTGCTTGAGCGACTCCCCGTGGTGGCCGCCGCCGCTGCTGCTGCTGCTGCTCCTGTTCTGCACCGTGCCCTTCTGTTCCGGCCGGCCCTTCGGGGTCCCCACGCCTTCTGTGAACGTGGCGGTGGTGTTCAGCGGCTCGGCCTACCAGACGGAGATCAAGGGGCGGCTGAGCCGGGAGAACTTCATGGACCTGCCCCTGGAGGTGAACCCCATCACCGTGCTGGTCAACAACACCAACCCGCGGGCGCTGCTCACCCGCATCTGCGACACCCTCTCCACCAACCGCGTCCATGGCGTGGTGTTCGAGGACAATGTTGGCTCGGAGGCTGTGGCGCAGATCTTGGACTTCATCTCCACCCAGACGGCTGTGCCCATCGTGGGCATTAGCGGAGGCTCTGCGGTCGTCCTGCCATACAAGGTCAGTGTGGTGGTTGAATCAGGGACGGGGAGAGCAGTAGTAAAGAACTAGACGAGGCTTGTGGGACCCACGTAGAATATCAAACATTTTCATGAATTTCAACAACTTGCATTAAAAAATGCCCCAAAAGTATATCTCAAGCTTTCATCCAGCACTGGAGTCTAAATCCCCCCAAAAATGCACAACACCACTTATAAGTCTGAGGAGCCTCAGTCTTCAGGCAACTTCTTATTGATATCATCCACAGTCAGCAACTTGCTGAAAGCTGTATGAAGTAATGAACACAATAAATGACGGGATGAATACAGATAATCAGCCGTTGAATAGCAGCAGTAGAGATGCCACCAGCAGCAGCAGTCTACCTCTGGGTTGTAAATCGCACGCCATTTTCCTAATGTTCAATGCTAAATGATTCACACGTTAACGGGGAAAAAACGAATGGCCTTTTCATCATTTCTCGCCATCATCCCGGTTTGTAACTGCTATAAATTCCTAGCTTTAGGAGACACAGGATGATGTGGAGCAACAGAGGCAGGTTATAAAATCTCCAGAGAGATCAATCCGACTGAAAGTATTGTTATACAGAAACATTATTCAATCACACTTCCATAATGAAGCAGGTCCTTCTCTTAGCATTAAGCAGTCTCATGTAAGAAGTATTCTGATCTTTCTAGAAATAAACCGATCCAACTTTTTCCCGATATATAGGTATATAGGTACCTGGGCTTTGGGTATCGGCCGATACTGAGTACCGATCAGATACCAGTGTTTGATCAATAAGCCGTGTGCCTCACTGAGTGGAAGAGATTGGGATCATTCTGTTATGTGTGGGGTAACATTTCCTAACTTTATAAAACTAAATTTATGTAAATTTACAGAATTGTTCTTAAAATAATAAATGGTGCACCAGGAACTTCGTAAAAAATCTTCAAAATCCGTCAAATTCTTCGGTATGATGCTTCTGGAGGTGCTTGATTAAGTTGGTTGAGTTATATTTTGTCGTGCTACCGCCGTCCCTCAAAACCTTTGCTTTGCAGATATTGCAATTAGCCGAAGAACGTGAAATACTTTCAAACAGCTGACATGTTTGTTGTTGATTCTCTCAGCTATGCGATCTTTTGCTATGTGATCTTCTCAATTTTGAGGTGAAAGTAATTCAGTAGCAAATATTTGCTAAAGTGAGAAGCACAAAATTTGATTTCTACCTCTTTTCTGAACTAGAGGAACAATATTTGAATTGATCTAACTACGAATCATCTGGTGGACTTTACAAGATGAGTGTCCAGGCTCATGGCAGAGAAACAAACCAAATTAATGTCATTTGAATTTGATTTTCAGATCTCGTTTTCGCCGATTTGTCGTCAGGTGTCGAGCGCTCCATACTTTCACTGAAGTGGTCGATATTTAAGGTATTCAATCATTCGGTTGAAACACAGCCTGCAGCAGATGCTGTGGTAATTACAACACCTCAGAGCAAAAATGAAACAATTCAGGGCACAGGAATATTTTCTGGGTACACAGTCAAATAATCACACAGAGGGCCACACGTACAGTCACTTTACTGCTAATTACATCTGCCATAGTCAGCATTAGGTAGATGGACAGCCACAATAAATGACTTAATGAATAATAAATATCAGAAACACCAATTTGCAATGGAATCCATTACAGTTGCACTAGGTTCAAGAAGCAAGGAATGGATTTGTAAAGGTTAAACACAAAACAGGAATCCCCCAAGTTCCTGTTCATTCTACAGTGAGATCAGGTTTGAATCTGTCACTCTATATAATCTGTATTCGATTTGTATGCAGCTACTGGAACTCTCAGGTGAGCTAAACAGCATGAGGGATGCTTGTGACACACACGAGCTATTAAACTGCTTTTAGAGTTGAAGCTGGAAGGTTTTAGCAGCAATGATCCATCTATAGGAGCACGATCAGCCACCACAATGGGCTCAGCCACAGAGACCAACTGTAATCCTTTCAGAATTGCTTTTTTTCTGCAGAAGACGACACGGAGCTCGATGTCACAAAACAACATCACATAGAGAAAAATACAGTTTGAAGCTGTGCAACAAGATTCTGCCAAATTATGATCTTTAGAGATTTAGGACAAAGTAGACGTTGCACATTAATAATAATTAAATTATCAAAATGTATTTATTAAATACTACATGTTTAACTTTGAAGAAATTACACACACAGAAGGCAACCTAGGAATAATTTCTAATTCAGAAATAAGTGTGAAAGAAACAAGCTTATTGTTATAAAAGCTATGAAACAGAAGGGGTCCAATAACAGACCCTTGTGAGACACCACAGGAATCTCACATCCCATCAAATGTCGACTCACTTATTGTAGTCGTAATTTAATGTTAGAGCAAATTGTACAGTAATTCATTGAGGCCATACTGAGACAAATCAATGCTCAAAACCTTAAACTACACCACAAGCATTCATTGTTGTTCAACGCAGTCTGAACTGGACCGACCACCTCAATAACAGCCACAACGGTAGAAAGACTTTGTTTGGTCTTCAGGTTTGAAGATTGAGATTTAAATTGTGGGAACAATTTTAATAAATTGGCAAATACTCGAGTAAGAGGTTTGATTATTGAAGAAAGACTTTGGTGACCAACATAAGCCTAACTTCATCATGGCCTTGGACTTTTTTAGCAGTATCAATGAACTCGTTAGAACTCTGAGGGGAAGGATAAAAACCTTTTTCAAATAATCAGAAATGATTTAACAACTTTGACACACTTTGAGTTGTGCATTTAGAATTAGATTATAGCTATTGTTTTGAATCTTGAGGCATTTTCTGTTTTCAGAGAAACAAGGAGACAATAGTAAGACTCGAGTAATTCCCTGAATTCATATGGCTTTGTAGACGGCTCCCCTGCATCCGTTTCAGAAAACATGGGTGGTCTTGCCATCAGCATCGCTTCTCCAGGGTAATCAAAGAGATGTCACTCAGCAGTTAATGCCTCCTGCTGCTCACTTACAGCAACTCAATCATAACACATTACAAAATAAACACATGTAATAAGAAACAACGGCAAAGGCTTGCAGCCATTAACATGAACTAATGAATGCGTTTCATCAGTAATTAGCCAGTGACGAATGACGAACGTTGAGACCATCAATATATGCTGTGTAGAGATTGTATTAAAGGTGCCTGACAGAACAGCGAGTGCATGCATTATTAATATGGACGCTCCCAGTTGGAAACCAACCGTAATCGTCTGCTACCCACTGAGGCACCAGGCCTCTGATTGACACGAACACCTTCCAGCCTCGCCTGATAATTTGATATTTTTTAAGCAAATTTCTTGTGATCATTGGTCCCCATGCAGTCAATGTTCCAGATGTGGTTTTGCATATTTTGTCTGAAAACATCCGTATATATCATCACAATTAAGATAAATCTGTATTTTGAAATTCCCATAGAACTTCTGTGTCACCATTGTAGTCCAAGCGGTCCCTCTTTCCTACAGAGCCGAGTAATAACAAATCACACTTTTAGTTTCTTTATGTGAGTTGATATAAATGTAACTGATTTTGTTAAATGGACGTATGATATTGTTTCATGTCGACTGCAGGCCACTGAATTAAATCAAAGTGGAATCACATCACAGCGGACTTGTCATATCAGTAAATATTGTATCATTATCCAAAGAATATAATATCATATCGTGATGAAACTTGTGATTTGCACGCCTCTTTAGAAAGTCACCTATTCATTCTTTAAGTTGTCTTTATTCATATTGAATTGCTGTGAATGTATCAATGTGCACATGACAGCTACTCGATGTACCAGGCACACAGAGATGAGTTTGTTCCAACCCTCTTTGAGTCGTCTTCTAAACAATCGGCGACGCCGCCCCGTCGATTGATTTATGGGACGCTGTCAAAGGTAGTCAACAAGGCGACGGAGCTCATTCATTCATCATAGATATCGCTGAGAGCCGAGGGGGTTTGATCTTTCTGAAAGTGACAGCATAAAATTAGGTGATAAACTGATTCCTGTCCTCGGGACATTCTAGTCTGTTGATCGGCAGCATCATCCTGTTTGTTTTCTATCCCAATGAGGACAAGAAAAGGAAACGATGGCGAGCAAACGCTCAGAGGGAATAATGTGAAGATGAAGAGATGAAGTATGAAGCAAAGTTTACTCCACTGACAACAGTATTCACTGATGCATCTCTAACGTTAGAACTCTAGCAGCCATATGTCAGATGGACAATAAATCAAAGCTACATTCTTCACTATTACCAGCAGATCAATCTTTTCTCACAGGTCTTTTGCTCAATGTGCAAACAGCAGATAAATCAATAGCAGTAATTACAGCTGACAGAAATGACAGAAAATGTTCGTTAAGCCCAAAGAAAAGCTGTTTTGAAAGTGACAATATGGCTGCTTCTTTGCCAGGAACACAACAGCACAGAGCTCCAGCAAGTATTTAGAACAAAGATTCACATCAGCATTTCTCTGCCCAAGGTAAACTATTTGGGTAATATTGGAGATAGAAGTGTTTTATGAAAGAAGCTGAATGCAGCATGAAAAAGCGAACACCAAAATGGACTATGAGGGTGATTACACGGCATATCAGTGAGACAAAGGGGTGGAGTTTTAACTGAAAGTCCTTCCTGGTGTAGCTTTGACACCAGAAGTGTTTGTGACAGTATGACTGGATTACTTCTCTGAACAAATAAACTCATGTAGTGGCATCCTTCAGGAGTAGTTAAACACTATAAGAGGTTGTTCTAAACTGCTTTATTCCTGAACAACTGTAGCACAAAATCCACTTGTTTCCTCATTATGCATTTAGCTCAATATCCTGACCCAAAATCCAAAGCATCCTTTGAAGCATTCATGGTGCGTTCTGACAGATCACATCCTCCGAGCCTCAGCCCCTGTCAAGTGGACAAAAATGTAAGTCAGACACCAGCAGAAACCTTGATTGTATTTGCAGGAACATGAGCCCGAGGCTTTTTCTCAAA